ACATTAGTTTATTAACAATTATTTTTATTAGTATTAAAGTTTATTATTGTTACTATATTACTGTATCACTTGGTGCTATTTTTATTTTTTTTACAGAAACAAGGCGAGGTTGACAAAGTTTGAGATATGTTTTTTTTTTATTGTTTGTTGCGATATATATATTGATATTATTTTTATTATGCTTGAATAAAATGAAACCAGTAACTTTGAATTGTCTGTGCTGGCTGCTGATCATGTTTATAAAATACATAAATAAATGGATAGTAAAATATATATTTGTTATACTGTCTCTTATACACATCTAGATGTGTATAAGAGACAGATATATATATATATACACCGGTATATCATATATATTATGGTAATAACCATTAATAGCATAGGCAATTGCATATAACTAGCTCTATCACACGTTTTTGTTTACAGTACAGATCGGTTATTATTATATTAATATGTATGCTAAAAAGCTAAAATAATGGAAAATGGCAGCCATTTTAAATGTTAATAGCTAAAAAATGTGTACAATATTTAGTTAACTGTTGTTGTCATTGTTATGAGTGAATTTCTAATTGAATGCTGCATTTTAATAACATAAACTTACAATATTAGTGACAATTTTAGGAAAAAATGGCGGCCATTTTGAAACTGCTGGCAACCCCCCCCCCCTTACGTATGAAAAAAAAAATGTTCCACATACTTTTTTGATTTATCAATGTCTACTCTACATCATATCCAATTTTTAAAAAATATAGCAAAAAAAATGCAACCTCTGATATTGCTACATTTCGGACTGGACTACATCTCTTCTAAAGGATGTACACATGACGAGATCCATGATCTTGTCATCTAATCATCTCATCTAAAGGATGTACACATGACGAGATCCAAGATCTCGTCATCTAATCATCTCTTCTAAAGGATGTACACATGACGAGATTCAAGATCATCTCTTCCAAAGGATGTAGGCATGACGAAATTAAGGATCTCGTAATCTAATCATCTCTTCTAAAGGATGTAGACATGACGAGGTCTAAGATATCGTTATCTAATCATCTCTTGTAAAGGATGTAGACATGGTGATATCAAGGATCTCCTCATGTGAGCATCTCTTCTGAGGGATGTAGACATGACGAGATCCAGGATCTCGTCATCTGATCATCTCTTTTAAGGGATGTAGACATGATGAGATCAAGGATCTCGTCATCTGATCATCTCTTCTAAAAGATTTAGACATGACGAGATCTAGCATCACGTCATGTGATCATCTCTTCTGAAAAATGTAGACATGAGGAGATCCAGAATCGCAACATTTGATCTTCTTTCCTACAGGATGTAGACATGACGAGATAATTATCTAGACATCTGGAAGGTCACTTTAAGTTTCCGTAATAGGACCTACTTCACAAACGGAGACATTTCATCGATAATCAGCAGCAGCGCTCGGGTACAACCGTCCATGTTTCAACATATTTTGGGGCGTTAACTATTTGTTTCATCAACACAGAGAGTGGAATTGTTTTAGTCGTGAGAAAAACAACAATGACGCAAATAGACGGTAAGGCATCTTAATTAACCACCACGCTATAAAACATTTCATAAATATTTAAAAGGCGCATTTACTTTGTTTATATAATTATAAGAACCGGTACAATTTCGCCCAGGCTCAGTGTTACATAGCACACCTACTGCACATAAGGTACAAATAAGAGCCAAAAAATGTTGCTGGTTTTCTAGTTTTAAAAAATTAGAAACCGCATTTTAAATTTTACATCAGCCTCAATTAATTGTTCTTTTTTAAGCAATTTCAGTCTCAGTGTTCTTATAAAATGTGTAGTATGCATATTAACATCTATATAAAAACATCTACATAACATTATAACATCTATTACTGTAATACCGTACTTGTTTTACTTTACAAATTGGAATATAAAATTATATTTATCAATATAAAAAACATTTTAACTAACGATAAATTATTTTACAATTACCGTGTTCTACGACTGTCATTGTGAGATTATATATATATTATATATATATGTATATATATATATATATTACGCCCTTCGCTCATGAAATGTACAAAACTAATATATTTAATTATTCCTTATATAAAGGTAAATCATTTAACAATATCATTACTACAGTGTTTAATTCATTAATATAATTTTTTTTTTAATTTTCTCTTCCGCCTAGATGGTTTTAACTAAATGAGAAAACAAATCTTTAAAAAAATATATTCGCGAAACAAGTTGTAAAAAGTCTCGCCATGGAGCAAAATAAGTAATAACTGGTCGGAAATTATTAAAGTGGGTTTTTCCACTCCAGATATTTAAGTGTTTGTGTAAAAACCATTGGGTTATATATAAACCTATAACTATGTGGTAAAAACCATAAGAAGCTAATTTAGAACATGCGACAAAAAAAACAAACAAAAAAACAATGCAAATATCCACAGTTTACAGATCGATCATACGAGTCGAGCCTTTCATTCATCTAAATTTATGCATGTCATTTCATCGATTGAGAAAGCTTGGCATACATACATAAACGATACCGGTACTTGTATAATATTTTCCTGTCCTTGAAATGCAAAGTATGTCTATACATGAATTGACTTTATATGAAATTTTTAAGCTACTCCAACCCACAAAACGTTCAAGAAATGCTTGCACAAAGCAAAAGGAAAACGATTAAAAAAAAACAAAAAAACAAAAAAAAAAAAACACATAGTGGAGATTGGAGAACCAGGATACTGGGTCATTTTTAATGTGATCGGTGGGCTGATAAATAATAATAATAATAATAATAATAATAATAATAATAATAATAATAATAATAATAATAATAATAATAATAATAATAATAATAGTGAGTGAGTTGATGTTAATTCTTGACCTAGATTTATTAGTGCCGAAGATGATGAATTCAGTTTCATTTTCGTTTAGCATAAGCATGTTATTGGACAGCCAACTGTGGATGTCGTGGAGGCAGGTTTCGAGTCGTGTTTGAATGAAATCAGAGTCAGAGGGATCAAAGTCAATACAAATAGCAAATATAAACTTGTATAGATTCTTATAGGCTAGTCCTCTAAATATAGGTTGGGGCAGTGGTGGCGCAATGCCCACGACGCAAGAGCGCGGGCGTGGTCAGGTGTTGCGTTTCTCTAAATTTTCTGGAAGTTGTCCGGAGTGGGAGGTGGGGGGGGGGGCTACAACATATTTAAAAGGCAGTGTTAAAAGGTAGTGTTTATTTAGCCGTTAATATTTTTTTTTTCGTGACCTAGAGGATAGGCAAATTCGAGTTTTAGTAGGCAAAATATAGGCCTACACGAGGGGTGGGCATAAAAATCGGTCGAAGGGCCAAAGTGAATTTCTGATTTAACACCGAGGGCCGCACCCAAATTTTGATCTTTCCAGTGCGCTTCCAAAAACCTCCAAGCACTGCTTTTACACCACTTTATTCCCAGTTTTAATAATACTTTTTACATATGATCGGTGTCGGGCCGTAAAAAACAAGGTGTTTTCTGGCCGATGTTGCTTGGCGGGCCGCACATAGGCCTATAGGGTTTTAAATTCAAATTCGCGGGCGGCAAAAAAATCGCTGTCGGGCCGCACTTTGCCCACCTGTGGCCTACACTGTTTATTTAAACATCAATATGGTTGGTTACTGTACCGTAATTAACGGCGTCGGACCTATTTTTGCAAGAATCCAATCAATGCTTAAAGCTGCATTCACATTGGAATTTAGAATAGCGAGCTTGTATTTGAATGTAAATTCGAGCGAAATAAATTTGTGTACTGTACTTTGTTAAAACTTGTATAGTTTCTCAGGTTAAAGATGTCAAAAAATGATGTTTGGTATCAATTCAAAATTAGTATTTTATCCAAACCTTAATTCTGTACAATTTACATATAAAGAGGCATCATTAGGGCGAGATATGTTTGAACACCCTGAATTTTTTATGCATTACACGTGTTTTTACCATGAGGTGTCATAATAAAGTGACTCATCTATCTCTCAATACGTTTTATCAATTTTAAAGTTTTCGATTCTTTGCTTTGTGAAACTTAATAAAAAATATTTAAAACATTTTTCGGTTATGGAAGATTAACAACAATCATTATCTAGTTTATCTTTATATTATTTTACAGATTCGTTTAATATGGCAAGTTTGACAGGAATGCTTCTGGACGTTTCTGGATCAATGGCTCAGAATGCTGGTGAAGTACAGCAAGGAGGGGAGTGGGTGAATTCAGTATTTGAAGTCATGGATAACCTTATCAAAAACGACTTGTCCTCTGAGCATAAAGTGTTTGCTGTTGGTGTGGGTGCAAAGTTTAAATCTGGACTATTTGACGTGCTGAGAACAATAGAACCTTTTAAGGATATATCTAGTCGCAGTAAAGTTTCGTATGATGTTATTTTAGATGGTATATTCTCAATCCTAGAAAAAAACGGAGCAAGTCAGGTACGCAAATGGGCACCCACTTATACTGTAAAGTCTGTAGTTTCTCATGAAATGGCTTCAGCAGTGTTCGATAAGTTACAAGCCGAGAGCAGTTTTGCAAAGAAAGTTGCCCAAGAGTGTCTACCAGATGCTTGCAGAGACTGGACGGAACCTGGAAACTTCGGACATTCTCTTAGTACTGGTTTTTCTTGGGTTTATGCATCTGTAGTCACACCATTTAAGCAGGCAACAAAAAAAGATATTGAAGAGGTGCAAGACAGGATATTTTCATTAATGATGAAAGACGTTGAATCAGAAAGTATTTTGTCAGCTAAAAAAGCATCGACCATTATTAATGGATGCATTGATGATCGCAGACAACTGGATTCACAAAGAATAAAAGAGTTGAAGGAAATTGTTAGGCCATTCATTTATGGCGACACGCCTTTGTTTAAGGCTCTTCGTAAGGCAACGCCGTTATTTCGTAACGCAAAGTACAAAAAGAAGCTTTTATTCATCATATCAGACGGAATGCCAAACGATCGGGGGGACATTGAGTCGATTAAAAGGGAGCTCAAAGAGGCTGGAGTTACTGTTGTAAGTTGCTATATTACAAGATCACGAAATGTTGATCCGCGACACCTTTTTAATAAGTCCGACCAACAATGGGAAGTTGGTGCTCAGTTTTTATTCAATCTGTCTTCAACCATCACAACACAATCACTCCCAAGAACAGTCTTCATTAAAAAAGGTTGGAAAGTTGATTTCGAAAACAATGAAATCAGGTTGTTTCTGCAGGTTAACCATCCTAAACACATTAATGAAGTTTGTGATCTAGCGCGAAATGTTGTTTGTTCTCGGGAAGTGCTTTCCGATATGCTTACCTCAGTATCGCTGGATATTTACATCAATCAAAGCACAACCGGATTCAAAGCGCAAGAAAAGCAAGTTGGGGGTACTTGCTATGCCCACGCATCAGCTGCGGTTCTTCACTTGTCTCTGAAGCGTATTCTTGGAAGGCATGGTGGTTATCCCGAATTTAAAACACTGCGGGATGAAATGGTTAGTCTTCATGGATCAGACGGAGCAGTTACATATGACGTTCTTGAAAAGATTTGTCCAAAGTACAGACTACATAGTGAAAAGGTTAAAGTTGTTGGTGCCTTGGAAGCGATCACCGAAAAGAGACCCGTGGTTGCTATATTTTGTCTTACTGATCCGGAATGGGAAATCTTCAGATGGTTCTACAAGAAAAACCCAAAAGGAATTCTCGGCAAAACCGAACTGGACTTACAGAGACCATGTAAACCTGAAAAATTAAAGGGACATGCAGTTGTTCTAACTAGCTTTAACAGTGAGTGCCTGTATCTTATGAATTCGTGGGGAGATGGCTGGGGAGATATGGGTTTCTTCAGGGTTCAAAGTGCCGATGTTCTGGACCTTAAATTCATCGATGTCTACTGGACCGAAGATGATCTACTTGACAGTGAAAAGGAATATTATCAACAGCACGGATCCCAAGTAGCAGCAGATTTGATTCGTAAATTGCAAGGATTGCAGCAAGCCAGATACACGTGTCCTCTATGTGAGACAGAATCGTTTGTTGCCGAGTTCACAGGTACATTGTCAAGTGCGACGTGCCCATCTTGTGAAGGAAGCTTTGAATGTGGAGAGTCCGGTAATATCCTAGCATTGAACATGTATCTTCTTTCTTTGACCCGATAGACTGCAAATTTATGAACAATGCTGTATTTGGTCAATATGGAAAAACAGCTAATCTTTAAATATTGATTACCCATTTATTCAATTTCACACAGATAAATTCACGCAGATAAACTATAACGTATTCATAATGAGATAAAGTCGGTGACGAGAAAAGGCCAACAGATGAACAATCTAGGTAAACTGAGCGGCATGTCCAGAATTGCAGAAGTAGCAAAATAATAAACCAAATATATAATTTTTAAATGGAACCATATGTGCATAAAATAAGAAACAAGAAATAAAATTTAAAAGTGAAATCCCTATAAACATAATAATATTAAGATGCCTATAATCTTTACTTAATCTTTTCTTCCATGCTTGCATACTGCTCTCTGAACCTGTATTCCATTTCTCTTGACCCATCTCAGATTTGCTCCTCCATTTTCTTAATCTGTCATCTTTTTAAAAAATTTAGTGTATTGTGAATCTTTGATTGCTTGATTTGGGGGAATATTGCCTATAATAATAGCCTATGACATAGGTCTAGAAATTTTAACAAGAAATGCTCAAAATGGATACCATAAGAGAACTTAAGTTTTTCAACAATTTGCAGGCATCTTCTTGACTTATGAAATTGCATTGCTGATGAAAAGTGAGGGGACCAACCCCACTTAAAAAATATATGGGGAGAGACGTGTCCCCTTTCCCCGTGATCTGCGCCCAAGGCTCCTACTTGTTCGAAACTTAAGGAATTCCATATGTTTATTATTTTGTTAATCAATTTAATTCTTATTGGTTCCTAGTATTGGTTAACACCCTAAGTCACTTTTCATTCCCAATCTTGGTTTCCAGTCATCCATCACTTTAGGTGGACAAGATACTTCCTTTATAGGACCACAAAAACGTACAGTACCTTAACAAAATTCCATGGGGAACAACCTACCAAGAAATAGTAAGGTATTGCACACTGTTGATTATAGGAAATTGAATGCATCTCCAGGTTAATACCCTATACTTGAACTGTATTATTTTAATCTAAAGGAAAACAAATAAAGAATTATCAAAATACATTGATTAATATAATACATTTCAAGGTTTAATAAACACAAGAAATACACAGTACTACATCTATATATATACTGTCTCTTATACACATCTAGATGTGTATAAGAGACAGGTACAAAAAGAAGCTTTTATTCATCATATCAGACGGAATGCCAAACGATCGGGGGGACATTGAGACGATTAAAAGGGAGCTCAAAGAGGTTGGAGTTACTGTTGTAAGTTGCTATATTTGTATATATAGGCCTATATATAGGCCTATATGTAGGCCTATATATGCAACGATATGCTTTATATTGTGCTCTATCTTAGGCTGCAGCTTTAGTGGATTTTCATCTATAGTATAATTGCAGTTGCTGTCTAGCATTGTAGTTTTGTTTGAATTACTTACTATACATACCATACTCAAAAACATCTAAGACTTTGCAAGTTTTGCCTAGGTTTCCTTGACAACTGGTAGATAAGTGGGTTTTGTGGTTGGAGTGAGTAACCTATGTATGTGTGCTTGCATAGATTAGTGTAATTAGTATTGAGTTTTACGAGTGAGCAGTATTAATAAATAGTGTGTTTTATATTGGATTCCATATAGGGGACCTATCTTGCTGCTTGCAGTTTCATTTTGTTTGTAGCTGAAAGAACCTGGGTGGAGATAATTATTAATCTGCTGTTATCGGTTTGAATACTGAGACATGAATACAGTATAGAAAAAGAGGTGGTTTTTCTGTAATTTCTGCCTGTTCCTAATTTGGAATGTGTTGTTTCCTCTCTTGGTGGTGAATATGTTATTGTATTTAGATTAAGCATATGCATATGTAATTGATTTAAATTTAAGGTAATTTAGACTTCAAGGTTTGTACCTTTGTTTTGTACTGTTTTTGATTTCCTCTGCTAATGTATATATAACGTCGAAGGCGACGTTCAGAAAAGAGAGGAGTGGATGTGCAGTCACATAACATGTCATTATAGAGTGGCAAGTAATAATTCTAGATAATACTTAATGAAATTAAATTGATATACACTTTTGGTCTAAAATGTACTGTTTAATTTTTTAGGTAATTTCATTTCATTGAGTTTTAGTTTGGTACTACGTTTGGTACTCTACGTGGCAGTTGAATATCCTTCCAAATTCGTTATTTTTAAACTTTCAGAATATAAGTATCTAATTTACTATGTAATGACCTTCATGATGTAAGGAAGAATTTTACCAAGTTATTCAGAGTCGACAGTTTGAAATGATTGGTAAATGTACCACATACTGTAGTTAAGTTAAAATTTGAAGATTGGCATTATTTGTCAAGTATAGGCATTTGTTATTGATGTGTAGTTTAAGTCTTAATTAAGGCTGGTATATCATTTGACCCTGCGACGTTCAGAAAGGAGGGGTGAATATAACGATATGCTATATAAGTACTGTATCGTAGGTTTTAGCTTTAGTGGATTTTCATCTATAGTATATTTTCAGTTGCTGTCTAACATTGTGGTTTTGTTTGAATTACTTACATAATAATAATAATATAATAATATTTATCTGACATTACACTTTTGCAACAGTGGCAGCACACAAGAAAGTGGCGCAGTCAAGAGGAAAACAACAACTTAAAGCTAAACAAATGAAAGAACTTAACTAAAGAAAATACAATTAGGAGTTTTAATAAATCATAAACATCCCTCACCCTCCCCACACAAATAATGTACATAATACACATTACGTGCATACAGTACCCCACCCAAATATGTATATATATATATATACATATATACCTGTATATACATACATAATCATATATACATATATACACATACACACGTACACATACATATATATATATACACATATACACACACATAAATACATATATACAAAGCATTAGAGAAGTATATAAAAGAAATTAAATTTAAAACATAAAAAAAATGTATGTATCTAAAGCAACAATGCATTTAACCTGTTTTTTAAATCTAAAAACATACCATACTCAAAAACAAAAACAAGACTTTGCAGGTTTTGCCTAGGCTTCCTTGACAACTGGTAGATATGTGGGTTTTGTGGTTGGAGTGAGTAACCTGTGTATGTGTGCTTGCATAGATGAGTGTAGTTAGTATTGAGTTTTACGAGTGAGCAGTATTAATAAATACGGTAGTGTATTTTATATTGGATTCCATATATTTTGTTGCTTGCTGTTTCATTTTGTTTGTAGCTTAAAAGAACCTGGGTGGAGATTATTACTACTCCTCCTGACACCTAGGG